TCCAGTCCACACTGGGCCATGAGCGGTCGGTCTCTGAGATGCAGGGAAGCCAGGCTCCCTGCCCGGGAGGGGCCTCCCTAGGACCCCAAAGCCGTTTCCTCAAGAGGCTGCTGCTGACCGCACATTTCACGCGGCTCTGACCGCGAAGGCAACAAGCAGGGCAGGGGCCATGGACCCTCTCCCGCGAGGCAGGCTGCTCCAGTCAGAGGGACGGCTGCAGAGCAGCAAAGTCTCTACAGAAGAGATACCAACCTAGCGGGCTCCCTTCCCACTCAGGGGCCCGTAGCTTCTTCAGGAGCAGCGTCTTTTGAAGAGTTGAGATTCTAAAAGTTCCTTAAGGTAATGGTTTTTCTCAGTGTTTACTGGGAGTGTCCTAGGGTAATGGTGGTTAGCTCAGTGGTAGAATTCTCACCTTCCATGATGGAGGGTTCAATTCCTGAGTAATGCTCCATCTCTCAGTAGAGACTTGTGTGTTGCCGTGATGTTGAACAGGCTTCAATGGACCAAGATGGACCAGGAAGAAAGGCCTGCTGTCCAACTTCAGAATGTCAGCCAGTGAGCTCTGTGGAGCCCAGCACTCTGGTTCCATGTGCACGCAGGGAACAACAACAGGAGGGCCTGGGGAAGGAGCCTGGGGAGGGGCAGGCTCAATGGGCGGTGGCATCCAGTGAGGACGCCTTCAAGTGATGCTGGCGAGGGAAGCCCCGCTGACTGGGACATCCAGCCAGCTGTGTGGCTGGCCCATCAGCACCCCATTCTCTTCCCGTCATCGGCTCTCCTGTCAAAGGTTAGTGTCTTTAGGTCAATCTCCTCTTATAAAAATGGCCTGTCCCAGACTCTACCAGTCATCTTAAGAAACGCTGGAGAACGCGTCATTCTACGTAGTCTCTATTTCTCAAGTGCTCTGTTCTGTTGTACACAGAGTCACAATCAGTCGGAATTGACTCAGTGGCACCTAACAACGATAACTGGACAAATGACTGAGAAACCAGGAATCTAGAGAAAATGTTACAGAAAAGCTGGGGCGGGCAGTTTCACTGCAGGATGTCAGGGCTTCTGCGGTGCAGTGAATTGCTTGGCATGGCTCTTCTAGCCATGTCCTCGTGACTCCCACCAGATCCTGGGTGGGACCATGCAGATAAGGTGTGTAGGAATAAGCCTCGGGCTGCTGGGATTGGTTAGTTTCATCCCTTTGCCAGGCTTAAAAGGAGCCCTCCTAGAGGCAGAGGGGGGCTCTCACTGCCATTGAGAGAAAAGAGCAGGAGGTGAAGTAGAGTGTCCTTGGACTTGAGATCCCTGCGCTGGACATCCCTGGCAGAGACACCCAGCAGAGGACGCCCTGGCAGAGGAACCAAGAGGCATGAGACAGAGCGGCAGGCTTCCCTGGCCCACAGAGTGGGACAGCTGAGTGCCGCTGGAGAGGAGGCTTGCTGGTGGAGTGGGGTGCACCTGGGTGCCCCTATTGGCAGAGCTAAAAGAGCTTTGTAACACTTGCCCGAGCAGGGCAGGGGGCGGGCTGAGAGGCCAGGGGCCAAAGAGGCGAGCCTGAGTGCACAGCAGTGGGGAGACTGTCCTGATGCAAGAACCGTATCCTGAATGCATTCCTGAACTCGAATTGTAGCCTAATGTTGTTGTTGTTATATGCCCTCGAGTCATACCTGACTCATAGCGACCCCTCCTTGGGTTTCCGAGGCGGTATCACTACGGAAGTGGATTGCCCTATCTTCCTTCCGAGGAGTGGCTGGGAGGTTTGAACTGCCAGCCTTCTGGTCAGCAGTCAAGTGTCTTAGGCACTACGCTATAAACCCCATAATCATGAGCGTTGTCTCTGAGTTCAGTGTGGCCAATGCGATGAATTAGTGAACCCAGTGAGTGCCGTGGGAGGGAAGGTGGATGGCAGAGTTGGTAGAAGGCTGGAGGGCGACGGCTTGTCTGGCCTCGTAGGAATAAGCCTCAGGCTGCTGGTGGTGATTCTGTCTTCCTCTGTGAAGGTAGAGGCGGTCAGAAGATGCCGCCTCCCTGCGCTTTTTGCAGGCTCCGTGTATAAGGCATGCCATGGGACCCAAGCACCCGAATTAATAGATTTCCTCATCTTCCTGACAAACACATTGAAAACTTCAACCACGGGCCTAAAGGGTGGGAACAATTAAGAAAGTTCCTTTTGTAAAAACGAACAAGTAGAAACACACTATCAGCTGAAGGGGGAGAGAGGCTTTAAAGCTGCGATCTACTTCTGTAGTGATACCGCCTCGGAAACCCAAGGAGGGGTAGCTATGAGTCGATGTGACTTGATGGCACATAACAACAACAACGTGCTACCCACTTAGGGAGCCCTCGTGGCCTAGAGGCTTGGCTGCTGAAGAGCTGGCCATGTGAACCCGGAAGTGGCTCCATGGGAAAAAAGACCTAGCGACGTGCTCCCGTGAGGAAGACAGCCTCGGAAGCCTCTGGGGCAGGTCAGCTCCATCTGGTCAGGTCGCTAGGAGGGGGATCGATTCCACTGCCCCAAGAATAATAACTACTTAGTTTCAATGACGTTCAGAGAACAAAGACATAGTTCAGAGAAAAAGAGGGAAGCTGGGTGAGTCTTCCTTGGGACTGGAGGGCACCCCAGTTCTCAGGATGGGAGGTGAGGGTCATGACGTGTTCCTGGCCTCCTGGTGCCTGCACTCAGAGAGGACCATCCTGCACACTCCAAGCCGGCTCCCAGGGGGATGTGGAGCCATGAGGGACCTTTGAGGGGAAGGCACCAGGACCAGGAAAGGCTTTGGAGCTATGTTTAAGCTGATGGGCTCTAGTCTGATTTTAAGAGAGACAGCAACAGAATGAGGAAGAGGCTTCTACGCACACTGCCAGGTGGGAGTGCCACCTTCTCCATGTGTGTAAGTTACTTAACTTCCCTCAGTGTCCGCATCTGTAAGAGGAAGCCAGTCACCCACACTGCCAGGTGGGAGTGCCACCTTCTCCATGTGTGTGGGTTACTTAACTTCCCTCAGTGTCCGCATCTGTAAGAGGAAGCCAATCACACACACTGCCAGGTGGGAGTGCCACCTTCTCCATGTGTGTAAGTTA